TATAAAAATTACTTATGTCTCAGGATAGCTTCTTAGTCTTCTCAAGCCAAGGGCTCTACTGCTTCTTAAATACAGAAATATAATTCAGTCCTGTACTATAATAGAGTCCTGAAGACAGGAATCTATATCTGAAGTCCCAGTAAAAATCCTTTACAAGCCAGAGGTCTCATTTGTGAAAGTTCTTTTTCCTCCCCAGATTTTGCTTACATAATTTATACGTTGTCGTTGTTGTTTTAAAGTCCTCAAAGAGAGGTATGTAGAAGTAATATTGGGGCTATATTTCCAGGCAGGTTTTAGCATTTAAATTTTCCCTTGTTGCAGGAAGAATAACCCCCACCTCCCAAGATGTCCATATCTCAATGCCTGGAAAATGTGAATATGTTAGGTCTCATGGTGTGATGGTTAATACTGAGTGTCAACTTGATCGAATTGAAGGATGCAAAGTATTGTTCTTGGATGTGTCTGTGAGAGTATTGCCAAAGGAGATTAACATTTGAGTCAGTGGACTGGGAAAGGCAGACCCACCCTCAAACTGGGTGGACACAATCCAATCTATTCCAGCACAGCCCGAATAAAAACAGGCAGAAGAACATGGAGAGATTAGACTAGTTTAGTCTTCTGGCCTACAAATTTCTCTCATGCTGGATGCTTCCTGCCCTTGAACACTGGACTCCAAGTTCTTTGGCTTTGGGACTCAGACTGTCTCCTTGCTGTTCAGCTTACAGACGCCCTATTGTGGGACTTCACCTTGTGATCCTGTGAGTCAATACTTCTTCATAAACTCCCCTTTATACATACATCTATCCTATTAGTTCTGTCCCTCTAGAGAACCCTGACTGATGATACACACGGCAATGATGAATTAAGGGTGCAGATGGAATTAAGATTGCTAATCAGATGACATTAAAATAGAGAAATTACCATGGATTATCCAGTGGGTCTGACATCATCACAAGAGTCCTTAAAAGTAGAAGAGGGAGGAAGAGTCAGGAAAAGATATGTGATGATGGAAGCAGAATTAGAAAGATGAACTATTACTGGCTGTGATAATGGAAGAAGGAGGTTCTGAACAGAGGAATGAGAGTGGCCTCAAAGCTGGAAAAGGCAAGAAAGGATGTTATCGCCTAGAACTTTCAGCAAAGAATGAAGGTCTCATGACGCCCACACTGATTTTAGCTAAGTGAGACCTGTGTCAGACTTGTGCCCTACAGAACTATAAAATAATGTTTGTGTTGTTGGAGCCAACAGTAAGTAAACAATCACATATATATGATTACTTATTAATTACATACTATATGATTACATACTTACATATATATGATTACTTAGTAATCATATATGTATAGATATACATACATGATTCCCACATTTAAGCAGAGGTACATAATTCAGTTAATCATGTGATTATGTTATATGCACTGTTTAAAAATATGCACTATTTAAAGTGCATATATTAATAGTGCATATATTATATGCACTATTTAAAATTCATATCCCATAAAAAACTTATCCCATCATTGGGAGGATGGGAACAAAAATGTGTATAAACATATTTATTGAAGAAAAATGAAAATGTCTAATTTGGAAAACTTAAAACTCAATAAAAATTTCTTTTTTGTAATGTCAGGTAAATAATGTTCATAGGAACAAACTTTGTGATAATTAAAAAATAGAAAATATACCTAAGTGTTCATCAACAGCGGAATATATGTATGAAATATTAAAATATGGTGGAGTCATACCATGTATGACTGGAATGTCATACAGCAATTAAAATGATGAGCTAGAGCTGTCTGTGATTTAGACAGTCATCAGTAAGGGACTTTTGTTAATAAAAACACATAGGAATAAACTGATTACTATGTCAGCTCCTAGTTACAGCTCAAAATGCACCTTTGACCAAATTATCAAACCCATTCTTTCTTCCAAAGAAAGATGTTCCAACATGGATAGATCTTAACAGTATTAAATTGTGTTTAAAAGAAACCAAAGTTAGTGAAACAGTCATACAGTAAAATACTATTTATGAAAATTAAAACATGTAAAATAAAATTATATTGTTCATGGATACATATGTAGAAAGTTAATATATAAAACATGGGGCTGGGGCAGGGCGCAGTGGCTCAGGCCTATAATCCCAGCACTTAGGGAGGCCAAGGCAGGTGGATCATGAGGTCAGGCAATGGAGACCAACCTGGCTAAAAAGATGAAACCCCGTCTCTACTAAAAATACAAAAAATTAGCCAGGCATGGTGGCACGTGCCTGTAGTCCCAGCTACTCGGGAGGTTAAGGCAGAAGGATCGCTTGAACCTGGGGGGCGGGGTTGCAGTAAGCGGAGATTGTGCCACTGCACTCCATCCTGGGAGACAGTGCGAGACTCGTCTCAAAAAAAAAAAAAGAAAAAAAAAAACAAAATGAGGGACTTTGAAACACACCAAACTCATTAGGCTGTCACAATGAAAGATTCAGAAAATTTCAAAGAAAATGTTTTGTTCATTTTTATTAAAAAATATCTGAAGCAAAATATAAAGTGTTTAACTGTGGTGGGATCATGGATATTATCTTTTCAGTACTCCACAATAGTTATAAAAATATTTTTAAAATTATTTGAATATTTCAGACAAAATGCATTTGAAATGAATCATTCAAAAAATGATTTCAATTTATCATAATATCAAAACAGTCCACTTCCAAAGTTTATAATCATATAGTTTTACTAAAAATAAACAGGATAAAAACCTCTCTGAAGATTTCAAGATAAACAGGTAATGTTGGACATTCTACAGAACGTAATTCAGGGATAAAATAGAAGATTTCAAACTCTCATGAGCTTAATACTGGGTTTTACTTCATAAATTATATTTATTCTAAGAATCTACCCACCTGTCAGCTCAATGTGTCTATCTATGGCTCTGTTTGATTTTAGAGAGCCTGGGGGTGAAGGTGCAGAACAATAACACAACAGTAAGCTTCAGTGTATGCAGTAGTTGAAATGATTTCATTCCTCAGACCTTGTTAATCACTAAGGATCACCATAAACTAACTGTGAAAAAGACTACAAAAACTCTGAGTCACCACCAAAATGCACAGACTTGTGTGGCTGGCAGAGGTTTTTCTATCCATCACTATGTAAACAAGGCTAGCTACTGTTGATAATGTCTACGCTCAGGGCATGAACTCCTCACACAGGTTGAGCCTATTCTTTTACACATCTTTTTTTTTTTTTTTAAGTGAAGCTGTCACAGAAGACATAAATCTACACTAAGTTACACAAACATGGAAAATAAGTGTCAGTACCATGATGGGAATAAATGGAACCACGTAATAGGATATGAGTGAGGTAGCTGATCTTCAGTCGCTTTTTTTCATCGTATAGAGCAGAAAGTATCAGAGTCACTGATCTCTACTAGAGAATTTGACAAAATTCAATTTGATATGGTAATTATTGTCAGATCATCTGTAATATGCCCAGAATTGTGCTGGGAAAATTGGGAGAAGTTTAAAAGATGCAAATCCTCTTATAAACATCCTGAAAATAGCAGATAGTTCTCAGATAAGTAATGATTAGATAGAATCCTGTAACTTTGTCCAGAAGTTGTTTGTGAGGCCCTCAAAATCTCTTGGGCTCCTTAAAATTAGTAAGAGATGTGTCTTTATTCAAAAACAATAAAATCAAGGTATTCACTACCTTAATGAGCTTAGCAAGAGCTTTAAATGTATTTTTAAATGTGAACTTTCTCTTGATTTTATATTTGTAATTTCAGTTTTCTTTCTCATCTATTTTGCAGAATCAGGAAGTATTTGCTTTTCATCTAAAAACTTTAAATTCCCTCTCTGAAATTTCTGATACCAAATTACCCTCTAATTTGGTGTCAAAAGTTTGAAAATATCACTATTTTATTATTTATTATATTCAACTTTTATTATCTTTATATTCAAATTTTCTGCTTGAGTTTTTTGTAACCATGTCAATAAAAAAATCAATGGCCACTATCCCTACTTTACATTTTTTTCAGTATGATTCAAAGTTACCTAAAACATGAAATTAATTAAGTAGCTGTACAGTAATGCCCAGAATAAAGCCAAAGTGTGATAAAGTAAGATATTTTCATGCTTTTCTTTGCTGTTAATTTTGAAGATATCCATCTTATCAATGTATTTATTCATTGATTTTATAAATATTTATGGAGTGCTTATTATGTTCTAGACATTTTTATAAGTTTGGGGATATAATGATGAGCCAAACCAGACACAAAATAAGAATGAATTCAGGAGGCAAAAATGTGTAGTGTTGTCAAAGATTACCTTTAAGATAAAAAGAATTTAATGTTTTACTCTGTACCTGGTACAGCAGAGCATTCAAAATCCAGAAGTCCAAAATGCTCCAAAATCTGAAACATTTTGAGAACCAACATGACACTCAAAGGAAATGCTCTTTGGAACATACTGGATGTCAGATTTTCAGATGTGGGATGCTCACCAGGTAATATAATGCATAAATATGCCAAAACTCAAAAAATTTCAAACTGTAAAACACTTGTGGTCCCAAGCATTTTGAGTAAGGGATAATTTATATATATAAAATATATGTACAAAGAGTCCTTATTTATTCAAAAAAATAAAAACAGTCCAACCAGCATTTCTATCATATTTCTTTCATTTTTATAAACAGTTTGAAAATATTGAGATTTCTATTATAATGCAGATCCTTAAGAACATTTGCTTTCCTGTATTTTAAGCAGATATACTTAAGAAGGACAGAGACTGTGGGAAATGACAAACTTATTTTACCTCTCAGTCATGTCAAATATTTCATGCATTCTCAAAGCGTGCAAATAAAAGTTTGTGTCACAATTACTATCTTTCGGGTTTGGGTGGTTCTACTCATAATATCTTGGAGAATGACAGGATCAAGAAAAAGAACAGGGTTTCACAAATGACAGACTAGCAGGCCAAAACAAAGCCAAAGACAGGAAGGAGGCGGCCAGGGAACACTTACTGGTAAGTGGTTGGGCTGACATTGATGCGCCGAGGGTGACTTCCTGACTCAAATTTGCTTGCCAGCGTGACATTATTTCCAAACAGGCAATAACGTGGCATTCGCACCCCAACAACTCCAGCCAGCACGGAGCCCGAGTGAATTCCTATCCTCATCTAAAAAAGAATGAAAGAGTAAAAGGAACACATTTGTTTCCATTTGGTATGCAATTATTTTAATGAAAGGCACTGCTAGTTAATAAATTAAACTATGAGTTCCTCAAAGACAGGAACTGAGTCCTGGTCATTTTTGTGAGCCTAATAGCTGGATCATTATAGTGCTCAAAGAACATAAATGCTATGGAATACACAAAAGAACATAAATGCTATAGAATACACAAATACACAAATGAATAAGTATATGAAAAAATTTATGTTTAATTTGCTACATAAATCTGATTAAGTTACAGGTTAAATCAGATTTCATCTGTATATAATATGGTCTAACTTGAAGAGTGTATTTTTCTCCAGTTTCTCCCTCCAGTTATTCTTAAATAAAACCTTATTTGTTTCTTTCATAGCATTAAACATCATTGTAAATTAAATATTTATATTTCTGTTTATGTCATTTAAATGTTGGATATTCCCATTAGAGAAAGATATATATATATATAACTATATGTATTATATACATGTATATAATATATATATTTCTTTACTGCTGAATATTCAACATTTAGTATAGTACCTAGAGCAAAGCAGGTATTCAACATTAAGTGATAAATGTCAAAAAAATTGGCTGAATTCCCCAACGTATTATTAAAATGGAGTTAAAATAGAGAATTTAATCCTTGAGACAGTCAATAGGCATTGATTAAAAATTCTAAAGAGTAAATTAAATGCTGTAAATTTACTCTGATTAATCTGTCTGGTCCACGCCTTGAAAAGGCCCTCAATGTACAGTTGATATATAATTAAACATGATCACAGTAATGTAGTTATATTGACACAGTCTACACCAAAATAGCTGAAGCCAATGGATAACAAGTGGGAGATGATATCCTTAGTTCTAGGGGAATGTAGAATGTTCCTTGGAGGGAGGAAACCTGACCCCTAGATGCCTACCAAGTAGCCAAACTATCACCCCTTCACCACCAGGCTCTATTTGCCACTCTAGTTGTAAGGATAAAAGTCAGTCTGAGAACAACCCTTGTCTTGGGGCTGGGGACTTCTGCATATATCAACTCATAAAAAGATAGGTTGAAACTAATGTGACCTAGCTGCATCCCCTGATAACCTTTTCACTTGCTTTTAAAAAACTGACTCTAAAATTTATTTGGAAATTTAGTATGGTAGAAAGACTCAAGATATATCTGAGAAAGATGACAAGTTAGAGTATTTGCCCTACCAGATATCGAATCTTAATATAAACATATCTAATCAGTGCACAGATACCATCATATAAACAAATAGACTAATGGAACATTTAATCCAGAAAGGCTGCTATGCATATGTAGATGCTAGATTTATAGAAGAGTTGGCATTTCAGATAGGTGAGAAAAAGGGGTCCTTTTTATTAGAATACGCTGTATCAACTTTGTTTTATGTGGAAAAAAATTCCAAGTAAATTAAAGATCTTGATGTAACAGACATAACTTCACAGCTTTAAAAATAATTGTATTAAGAAACAATTGGTAGTATCAGTAAAAATGCAAAATATAGATACTTTAAAACATAGACTTTTATTTGTCTCTCAATAATAGTTCCTAGATGGGTCATCCAGATTGCCAGGCTGCTCTGTTCCCCTCAGTAATTCAAGGACCTGGTCCTTTTCATTGGTCCTTCTCCATGTCTTGGTGCATATCCAGGGCACCCTCATGTTCCAACTCACGGGATGTGGAAAGATAACTAATTTATCATTTAAAGTGATCTTCATTACTTTGTGTAGATTCAGATTTGTATCTGGCATCATTTTTCTCCTTCCTACAGGATTTCATAAATTTTTCTTATACTGTAGGCTCACTGGTAATAAATTCCCTCTGCTTTTTTATGTTTAAGTGTCTTAATTTTGTCTTCATATGTGAAAGATACATTCACTGCAAATAGAATTCTGGGTTTAAAAAGTTTTTTACCCCCAGTAGTTTAAAGAGGCTGTTCCACTGGCTCCCCTCTTGCATCTTTTTGGATATAAAATCTGCTATCATCTTTATCTTAATTCTTCTATATATAACATATATTTTACTTCTGGTTGCTTTTAAATTTTTATTTTATCATCCGTTTTAGGTAATTTAGTTATGATTTCCCTTGATGTTTTTTTCCCTTGTGTTTTGGGTTTGTTGAGCTCTTGGATCTGTGGGTTTATGGCTTTTATCAAATTTGGAAATTTTCTATTTCTTTGAATATTTATTCTGTCCACCTCTCCCTCTCAGAGATTCTAATTACACATATGTTAGGAACTTGAATTATTTCCAAAGTCCACTGATGATCTACTCATTTAAAATAATTTTCTCCATTTATTTGGGATAATTTATATTGCTGTGTCTTTAAATTTATAATATTTTCTTTTGCAATGTCTAATTTGTTGTTAATCACATTCAACATATTTTTCATCTCAGACATTGTCATTTTCCTCTACAGAAGTTCAATTTGGAATGTTTAAAAATCTTCCAGGTATCAATTTAGCCTTTGAAAATATGGAATACAGTTAAAAATCACTCTTTTAATGCCCTTGTCTGCTAATTCTAACATCTGTTTCAACTCTGTACTATCCATTTGGATTAACTTTTCTCTTCATTATGAGTCCCAGGTCTCAGATTTTCTTTATGTCTAGTAATTTTGGATTGGGTGCCATATATCATAATGTGACTTCTTGAGTGTTGGCTATTTTTATAATCTCATAAATATTATTGAGCTTTGTTCTGGGATGCAGTTAAATGACTTGGAAACACTTTGTTCCTTTCAAGCCTTGCTTTTAAGATTTGTTAGGCAAGACTGGAGCAGTGTTTCATGAAGGGCTACTTATCCTTCCTTACTAAGGCAAGAACCTTGAGTACTCTCCCCAGTGTCCTTGATTTATGAGGTTTTCCATTCTGCCTGAATGGAAACAGCCATTTTTTTTTTCCAAGTCCTGTGTAAGTGCTAGGTGCTTTTTCATCTAATCTTTTTGGGTATCTCCCTCACACCAGGGCTCAGGTAGTTTCCTCACATATGTGCACGAATCACTACTCTGCAGAATACATAATGAGGATCCTTGGAAGATGTCAGGGGGTCTTTTTGCAACTCTCACTTCTCTGATACTCTGTGACCTTTAGCCTCCTTGGTCTCCCAAGACTCTCAGCTCCATCTCTTCAACTCAAGAAGTTTGTTGGGTATCTCCTGGTTTGTCCCTCCCTGAGCCACACCCTGGATGTCTCTCAAGGCATTTAGGGCAATCATAGGGCTCATTTAATTTTTTCCTTATCTCTCAGGAATCACTATCTTCCATTGTCTAATGTCCACTGTCATGAAAACTGTTCTTTCGTATATTTTGTCCTGATGTAAAAAATTTTAAGATGGGAGTGTAAATCTAGTCACTGTACCCCATATTGGCTGGAAGCAGAAGTGAGACCTACTTTTTTTTTTTAAAAAAAAGTAAACTATTTGAAAAACTTAAGCCTGTTTCTCATGAGGGAGTCTCTATTTGGACTTAAAGCAAAACATGCTGAGTATCAGTATTCCTCTTAAACTAAGTATAAAGCACCTTTCTCTAAAATTAGCAAAGCACACTGCAATATTAGTATATTTCTTTGGGTCTGTTTACTTTCAGAAGGCCAATTTATATTGTTATCTTGTACAATGCATGTTTGCTTGAAGTACAACCAAACCTTAGATGTGAAGACTGTCAGTTTGAGATTCTAATAACTATAGAAATCTTTTCAAGCAGGAGGAGAGCAGAAGTGAGTATTACATTGATACATTTTATAGACTCTTTTTACTCTTCTTTCTGTTAAAAAAAAAAGACTCCATACACCATACCAACTATTTGAAAGGCTTATCTAGTTCTGTTTCTGCCTCCTTTCAAAAGACCTGAGGCTTTCTTTTCAGTCTAATTTTTAGAATTATAATTTATTATAACCTGAAAAATGCTGAAGACAAAAACTCTGATATCCTTGAGGGGGCAGAGGGTCATGGAGAGGAATAGTTCATTAAATTTAAAAAAAAAGTCTTGTCTCTTAGAAAATTATCTAAAAGAGGCACAAGAGTATCAACAACCACATAAACCACACTGACCCACTGTCACTACCTATCATGGAACAGGACTCAGAGAATTATTTAGTTTGGGAAGTAAGGCGATGCCACTGGAAACTTACAAGCTGAATCAGCAGACTGTTTTCTTTTGCATTTCTTTTGACAATTTATTGAGCTTTCCCAGGAATTATTGCCTATATAAGGAAGTCACTGATTGCCTCATTCAGAATGTGCCAAGAGTATCTAGCAGTAAGACAAACAGTGAGATAATTTAACTATCAGTGAGGGCTTTACATTCATTTAGACAAGATTTAACTTTGTTTAAATGGGTTAACCAAGCAGTCACATTTGCATCCATCTGGCCAGTATGCTGTAGTTAAAGGGGATTACTTTGCACTAAACCAGTGGTTCTCACCTGAGGTCATCTGAGCCCCTCAGTGGACATCTGGCAATGTCTGGAAGCATTTTTGGTTTTCACAACTGGGAGGGAGAGGTACTACTGGCATCTATGTGGCAGAGTTAGAAATTTCCTATAACAGCTTCCCAGCCCTGGAAAAGAATTTTCCAGCCCCAAATATCAATAGTGCCAAGACTGAGAAGCTGTACTCAGTAGACCTCTAGCAACCTATTAATCTTAGTAAACGAGGATAAACAAAAATATAAATGTTTTCATCTGATCAAAGCTTTGACAAAGCATACTAGACTTTAAGAGAATGTTCATAGAAAAAAAAATGTTTGTCCTAAGGATTTATTGAAAAACACAAAAGCTTCAGGATATATCCTGAGGTTAGGCTATCTATCACCCAATCTTTTATATATTCAATGTACAAAATAATGCAAAACTCTGGGACACGTTAAAGTCCCCAGTTATCAAAAGATTCAGTTATTCTCACAATATTCTGCTTATTACCAGGCTCATAAACAACTGCATTAAAAAAAAAAAGTTCTTC